GTCGAAAAGGTCGTCTGCTAAAGACGCCGGCTCTCGGCGCAGTATGCTCGTTCGATTCGCACGAGGGAGAAATCCCGGGGATTTCTCCCCGGCACGCGCGCATCACGAGATGAAAACGCGAGGCTTTGGCACATCGCAAAGCCTGACGTTTTCGTCGTGGGATGCGCGTGCCGGGGACAAATCCCCGGGATTTCTCCCTCGTGTGAATACCCCGACCGCTTGCGCCATCTCTTGTCTCCCGCGCGAAGCGGCGCCGTATTGTTTGAAAACCGGTGGCTTCGCTGCGTTTCCATAGGAGCTAAGACTTTTTCTTTCTTTACTTTTCCTCCAGGTAAGTTTGCCCCTTGTAAATAAATAAAAAAAATAAAAAAAATGTACCATCCGTGGGCAACGTTGCACAAAATCGTAGCGCGATAGGTTAAGAAACCGAATTTCGCGGTCGATTTAAAGAGCCTAGCCGCTCCTTGAATCACCCAGTAGAACTAAGACACGCGATAGAAAGCGCCACATGAGCGCTCTTTCGATCGCTCACGTAGCTCTAACTTAGCGCTCCGCTGTATATGTGAACAGGCCTTTACGGTCTTGAGTAGACTAAATATTTTGGGTTGATGTCAGTGAGGAGCAGAAATTCGTTTTATAGCAGTGAATGGAGGCGTTTTGTAGATATTGTTCACAATTTTAATGTGCACGCCTAGAGAGATTTTTATGATCCCGCAGAGCCATCGCATGTCCACAGCTTTTGACGCGCTTGTGGAGGATATTTTATATATTATTTTAAGAAATTAAATTATAAATAATAGTGCTTTGATACATATGCCAAATAAGGAAAAATTCAGAACCCAAAAGAAAAATAAATATTCCAATAAGCGCCGACTTTAGCAAAAGAAAAAAAAAACACCTGATTTTGACCAAAATAAACTTTAAAACACAGAACTCGAGCTAACGTATACTATGCTGTACCATACTATACAAACCTATACTATATTATCCTATACTATGCTTTATTAAAGGTACCATAAAATTATTTTTTAAATTATTTTTCTTTAGCTTTAACCCTCAACTCAAAACCGAAATAAGGAACCACGAGGTCGTGGCGTCCTTGAGTTCCGAATGCGATGAGTCCAAGATTCCACCGTGCTTTTTAATGATTGCGTGGAACTTGTCAATTGCAAGAGATGATAAGTTCCGTCCCGACAATCATTGGCCACGAATGCGAATATAAATATACGTCGACGGACGGATTGTCGACGAACGTATAGGCCCGAGTGAAGCAGTGCACCTGTCTAATGCGTGATCTGGAGTCTGCTGATCTGCTTCGGCACCGCGGATGCGCCACAGTAAAAAGGCGAAAAGTTTTCGAAGGAAAGGAGGTAAAAAGTAGTCCGCTATATTTTCAAATTTCCGTAACGAAAGGCAGGCTTTTGACTTTCTACCTTCGCCTGCTTTCCACTTTCGTTTGGCGCGCGAAAAGATATACGATTAGAAAAAATACCAATTTACCCTAGCCCAAAATTAATTTCACAGTCCCTTTAAGTATTACTATACTGTATAATACTATGCTACACTATACTACACTATAATACATAATACTATACTATACTATCTTACACTATATACTAATCTAGACAGGTCGTTCCCGAGAAAAAAAGAACTGTGTTTTTCGACCCGGGTATATAAAGTTATAAACCATGCGTCGAAGAAAGCTTCAACTCTGAAAATGTGACGCCATACTTTGTTTCAGCTTAGCTCCGAGCGCAGCCAAAGGTTGGGAAACGTTTCACCACTTGGAAAAGAGCGTTCGTACGCACCACGAAGTAGTTCGCAAAAGTAAAATTTTAGAAATATTTTCTATATGTGCAGACAATGCACAATTTTCCAGTAGTGTTGTGTCCTGCTGAGAACTAAATATCAAAATATAAATGAAATAAATTACATTTTAGGTTCTTCATAATAGAGTAATAAACATGCTTGGACGAAAAATGCCTACCTGCTGGCGACACTGATGTAACTACTACACGTTTTTTCCCCGTTTTTTCGTGTGATTTCGTGTTCTCAACGGCCGAATCGTAGGCTTAAAGTTCGACGCTTTCCTTGCCAATTTGCTGGACACCCTTTTGTTTTCTGTTTACTAATTTACACCGACAACGCAAGATAAGAAAAAAAAAAAGGGCACGTTTGAGCGTCAGGCGCGAGTCAAAAAAAAGTCAAGTTGGACGCTTAAGTGATTTATACAGCGTAACGTTGGTCTGCCAGTAGGGGCGACACTGGTTTACACTGTAGATGAGCAATTTTGCCAGTGCAGTACCACTGCTAACCTGGGGTCTTTAACGTGATGAATGTGTACTCTACTTCGTCAGGAGTCTCAAACCGCAACCGCGTCGTATACCGCGAAGGTGCTCAACGAACATCGGAGTTGACAGACGCTGAGAAATCGACTAAAAGTTGATCCGCCGACGGCAGGAAACGCTTTCTGATGAAAAACGGGTCAAAATCGGGTGTCGAGGCGGCGGTCAGAGGCAAAACCATGCGGTGTCGGTGGAGCGTTGAGAAAACTCGTACTCCATGGTGCGACCGGAGAAACGTGGTAGCGCGCTGCTTTGTTCAAAATCGGAGACAGGGCGGCAGTCTACCCAGAGAGCTCTCTCAACCAGCTTTTTCCGTGGGCTGCGGTAATACCGCGGCAGAGAGGAAAACCCGTATGGTCACCGAACGTTACCAACTTCCGTGTTCCAGCTCCGGCCTTGCTCTGGCGGCTGTGCGACGACCCTTCGCGAAGCCCAGCGGTCACCGCGCTGAACCGGAGTTTTATTTCAAGACGCGAAACGGCATTTTTAGTTGTGTAGCAGGCGACGCCGCCGATACTCCCGTAGCAGACCAAATGTCTCTCTCCGACTTTTGTGCACCTCTGCGCAGATTGCGTGTATACGAAGTGCAGGAGAAGTCGCGTCCTATCGCCGGCGTTTGGACGTGGCCACCCGTAGCTTTGGCCACGCTCGGAGCTAAGCTGAAACAAAATATAGCGATTGGGATAGAACGCGAAAGGACGCTACAGAGATTAAAATATAATAGAGGAATACGAAATTCCTTTATCAGCCGACATCCTCCTAAACGGCTAAGCATAATATCGACAAAACAAGAAATGACATCGCTGGCGCATGTAACATCTATTTCAATTATAATAAAGAAAATATCAAGCGAGAAAGAAAACAATATTTTCTTTCTTGGTGACAAGTTTCTGTAATTTATATAATATATATGCCACATGTGTCCACAATACCAGATCTTTATACGGCACTAGGCTTAGGCGGACGTTGGCTCATAAAGAAATTTCGCGTTCTTCAATTATCTTTTGATCGAAGAAAACGTCATGTTCTTAAACTTTCTCGTTCTATACCAACCGCTACGCATAGTTTATTTACTATGGCCAACAAAGAAGGAAAAAAAAGAAACACGTTTTTTTTGCTTGGGAACGCCCTTCAGCGACTGGATCATAGCAATCGCAAACCCAATGTTCACGTGGCCATAGCTATACTATACTATACCATAGCTATACTATACTATACTCCACCGTAACAAACTAAACCCTCCAGTCCTCATCTTGGACACTCGTAGCATGTGCTTGACCGGTTCATTCGCTATGAGCTATTTTTTGTCCACATTATCGTTTTGAACGGAATGTTTCACGGGGTGGTCTGCTCTCTTCTCATCCCATACTTCGCGCCCATGCATCCACTGCAGGGGACGCTGGTGCTGTCCTGCTTGGCACAAGCGCTCGTGGACACCAAGGTGGACAAGACATTTGTCTTCGTGCGACGCCATTTTTGTGTTTAGTGTAGAGCAGACGCAAATGTCGATCGTCACAATTCAAAAATGCGACTTCTTCAGCTTTAGATACGGCGTTAGAAAGCTCAGATGACATGGTTTTGCTCTTTAACGAACTGTTTTAACATTTCTGAAGGACGGAAAAGCGTTTCCAGCGATTTCAAATAAAGCTTCAGATGACTGGCAACCGCGATTTCAAGCACCAAGATGGCCGAAGTATCGTTACTCTGAAGCGTAGCTAACTGTGTTTAGTGGCTCTACAGTTAGGACAGCAGCCGTCCGGCATGTCGAACGACGGGAGGCGAGTCGTGGTGAGTGAGGGGGAGTACTGCTCGTGCAAGCGGCGTCTATGAGCAGTTCCGTAACTGTGCTCATCTAATAACGTTGCTCATGCGCAACAAGCAGACGACTTGCTCTCCACATGACGTCATCGTTAGTGGATCACCGACCCGCTCCAAGCGGCAAACATGCCGAGACTCGACGATGGTCGCTGCAAAGTGGCAGACGCGTCCGTCTTGACGTCGCGGTATCCGCTAGCATCGCGTACGTTGTGCGACGTTGTGAGACGCGCCGAACGGCGACGCTGACGCATACTAGGTGGCGCTGCTGCGTGGATCCACTAGTGATGTCGTTGGGGAGAGGGGGGGGGGGAGGAATAGGGTTTGTCGTGTGGGTTGTATTGGTCTGATGCACCCCGTCGCGGGGTGCAGTTTAGGGATACCTAAAATAAGATGCATGCCGGTCAGGGTTGTTCATGCCTTGAGGGGTGGGGATCGAGACTGCAGAGAAAGCCGTGGCTGTTACGGAGTGTGGATAGCTGGGGGCCCGTTGGTTCATATCAATGAGGTAGAGGGGCTTAGAGTAATAAACTAGCAGCTGAAAGTGATCCCCACCCGGCCGTCGCCATGTTGCACATTTTTGACTACTAGACTCGTGACCTTATAAGTTATGATAAGTTATGTTTCGTTTGTTTAAAGTCCAAAATGTACTTTTACGACAAAAATTCGAGCAGCTTCGCAATGGCTCGTCTAGATGCCGTCGGCCGCAGTGCTGTATCTTGGGTTTTTATCGGAGCTAGACACTGATATCTTGGGCTAACAGTATTGAAAAATAGACTATCATGTTTTTTACAGCAATCGCAATACAAATCTCGACTCAGTTTTGCATAAAGTCAGTCAGTCAGTCAGTCAGCAACTTTATTGAACCTTATTAAATGGGCTTATGCCCAAAACGAGGGTTCGTTAGGGAGGGGAATAGGGGAGGGATCTTCTTTCTGACAATCGGGTCTTTAACCGATGCTCTATTTCTAGTGTCCTTAGAATCACTGCCAACTGTGTTTCGTAGTCCTCTGAGGCCAGGAGCACACACCAGGGAAGATCTTCGTCTTGATCGTCCAGTCTGCTTTGGAGCGTGGCTGGTATCGGGTTGCTCGGGCACGTCCAATACGTGTGCGCCCAGCCACCATCAATACCACCACATTCCTCGCACTTGTCGCTGAAGAGATCCGGCCAGATTCTGCTCAGCATGCGGGGAGTTAGGGTGTTATGTAGCTGAAGTCTTCTCCACGTCGATTCTTGGGTTCGCGAGAGTCGCTTATGAGGGGCGCCCATGAACTTGCGCTGCATTCGGATACTTCTTAGAATATCGTTGTACGCTCGAGGGCCTCTGTCGTATGGCGCGGCCCCGTAGCAGTGGTCTCCGTCCGTTGTGGCTCGGCAGCTCGTCGCCCGGATTTGTTGTGCACGGGTTACGAGTGCGTGGGCCTCTTCGTTTCCCGAGTGTCCAGAGTGTCCGGGCACCCAGGTTAACGAGAATCTGGATCCTGTCTGCGGTGTCTTCTTCTGAAGGATCATGCGGGCTGCCTTGCCAACCTTTCCATCACCAAAGTTCGAGATGGCCGTTCTCGAGTCTGAGGTGATTGTGGCTTGTTTGGTTCTGGATGCCGCCATGGTTAAGGCCAAGGCGACGGCTACTTCTTCTGCCTCGTCAATATTCTCCGCACAGACAGAGGCCGTAGTCTTGTCGTTGGTGCTGCAGACTGCTATCACGTACTTGTTCCATGTTCCTGGGCACGGGCCTGCGTCTGCGTGGTAAACATGTTCCCGGTCGCCGTGGAGCTTGTCCAGTGCTTTGGCTCTGGCTTCTCTCCTGTCCTTATTTCTCTCGGTGTCCATGTTTTTCGGTAGGGGCGGAACTCGTACCGAATCTTTCCATTCGTGGGATATTGCATTTCTGCTTGTGAGGACGTGTTGTTCACATTCCTTGATTCTCTGGAGAGTCCTGCGTCCCGTTTCCGTTCTAGAGAGCCGTAGTACTTGCGACTGCTTCTGTGCAGATCTCATTTCCTCGAAGCTGTTGTATATTCCTAGTTGTTCCATCGCTTCTGTAGACGTGGATACTGGTATGCTCAGTGCTATCTTGAAAGCTTTCCTCACAATTAAGTTGAGTTGCTTGATCGAAGCCTCGGTCAGATTCATGTACGGCGCCGCGTACATTATCCTGCTGAGGACGAAGGCTTGGACTAGTCGGCATGTTCCATTCTCCTTCAATCCGTAGCTCTTTCGTGATACTCTTCTCACGAGTCTCGCTACGTTGTCGGCGTTTCTCTTGATGTCAGCGATGAGACTGCTCTGCTCCCTCTTGATGGTTACCGTCATGCCGAGAATTCGAACTTTTTCGGCTCTCGGTACGTCGATGTTTTGCAGCTTGAGGTAGAATTCCATCTCTTCTCTTAGAGCTCTCTGCGACGGTGGTCTGACTAGGAGCGCCGATTTTTCAGTTGCAAGCTCCAGACCCATCTTTGCAGCTTCTTCTTTGACAATTTCTACGCCGGCTTTCATCACTTTCCCCATGTATGGTGAGTGGTGCGCTGTCCAAATCGTGATGTCGTCAGCGTAGATTGCGTGCTGCAGCCCCGCGACTTGCTCAAGTTTCCGCGACATTGGCAGCATGGCAATGTTGAAGAGGAGCGGAGATATTACTGCTCCTTGAGGAGTTCCGCTGCCAACATTTACTGGGAAGGTTTCGGACGTGTCTCCTTCTAGCTGAATGTTTGCCGTCCTATCTGATAGGAACGAGCGAACATAGTTGTACGTTCGCTTCCCTAGTCCTAGCTCCGAGATTTGCCTGAGTATAGCCGCGTGTGATATGCGGTCAAAGGCTTTCTTCAGATCGAGTGCTGCTAGGGCGGTCCATTTCTTATTGTCTTCTTCCTCTCTGAGCTGTATAAACACGTCCTGCGTCGACAGGTGTCTTCGAAATCCGAACATCTGGTGCGTAAACAGGTTGTTCTCCTCCATGTACTCTTGAACACGTACTTGAATAATGCGTTCAAGTAGCTTGCCCACGCAAGATGTGAGGGAAATCGGGCGCAAGTTCTCCAACATGAGTGGCTTGCCCGGTTTCGGTATAAAGCAGACCGTGGCGTGTCGGAAACTGCTTGGAAGGTTTCCGCTAGTCCATAGCTCGTTAAAGTATTCCGTGATTCGCTCCACGGAATTGTCGTCAAGGTTTCGTAGCATGCGGTTCGTAATCTTGTCTTGGCCTGGTGCGGAAGTTGTTTTGACTCCAGCCATGGCCTTTCTGACTTCGCTTTCGGTGATGGGCGCGTCCAGCTTGTCGTTTATGGCCCCTTCGTATTCCGTTGGAATCTCAGTAGTAGATGGCGGAGATTCTAAGTATTGCGTCCTGAGTTTGTTATAGATTTCGTCATCCTTGAGGTCTCTGACGAGTTTCGCTAGGAGTTTGCGCTTCTCGAGTTTGGTATCTTCCGGCGCCAACATGCGCCTGAATAGGGTCCATGGACTCTTGGTGTGAAGCCTTCCCTGCAGTTCGTCACATATTTGCTGCCACTGTTGTTGATTTAATTTCTGAGCGTGTTCTTCAATCTCCTTACTGAGCTTGGCCGCTTTTTTCCTCAATTTACGGTACCGCTTTCCAGTGTTCCTCCATCGTCTGTATATGGAGCGGTAAGCTTCTAGCATATGCTGGAGTTTACTATCCATGGTCCGGGCTTGGGTAGGATTTTCTACTTCGGTCGTAACAGACTCGTGATCTTCGACTAGCTGTGCGCACCATTCTTCGATCGTGTGCAACGGCCTGTCTTTCCGTTTCTGCCTGAACTTGTCCCAGTCCGTGCATTTCTGCGTTGGGAATTTTGCGCTCTTGTATCCGGGCAGAGGGACCCTCGTCTCGATGACGTAGTGATCGCTGCCGAGATTTTCACGCGTGTTCAGCCACGTGTAGTCATCGATGTTGATACCAAATGTGAGGTCCGGGTTCGTGTCTTTCTGAGCACTGTTTCCGATCCTGGTGCAGTCCGCAACTTCGTTGAGGAGAAAAGCTTCGTGCAACTCGGCTTGGTTGGCGATTTCCCTCCCCTTGGGTGTGTCTCTGCCGTAGCCCCATATGGTGTTGTGCGCATTGAAATCGCCCAGCACCAGTGTCGGATTTTCACCCGCTACGCGGCTCGTCTCCGCAAAGACCTTGGCGCATGCGCTCGTGGTGTCTTTGGGGTTCGAGTAAACGTTACAGATGAATAAGCTTTTGTGCTTCTTTTTCTTCGGTATAATTTCCGTGACTATTGCTTTCACCGATTCATCCAGGTCAACTTCGTGTTGCTTGACTGGGAGATGTCGTCTGACGAAAGTATGAATCGTTTTTCCGGTTGGCTGAACTTCTGCATCGAATCTTGCGTACCCTGGCAGGTTACATTTGTCTCCAGATTCTTGTACCGCTATAATGTCCGGAGGGGTTTCCGTATCCATGATCAACATCTTGAGCGAGTTGATCCGGGCGCAAAGTCCTCCGCTATTCCACTGCCACACGACGATGTTATTACTGTTGTCCATTGGCGCGCTGTTCGAGCCGCTCGAGCCGTTCGAATACGTTCTGGAATGCCTTGTCGTGGTTGTCCATTCTCTGTTTCATTTCGTTGAGCATAGCCTCAAGCCTAGCTAGTCCCGCCAGGATGGCGTTCTGGTTGGGCTCTTCTTTTCTTCTAACCTTCCCGGGCCTGCTGGTCTTGGTTTCGTCACTTGTCTGTACAGAATTGACGGTGCTCTCCGAGTCTGTGCGCTTACGCGGACGTACACTGGGCAGAGACGGAGGCGGTGCCATTTCCACTTCTTGGACTGTCGTCTGTTCATTAGGCGGTTCCGTAACCAGTGGGTTTGAGCCGTGCCTCTCCTTCTGTAGCTCCCGTAGGAGTTGCTGGTTGAGTCTTCTGAGCTCTTCCTGTTTTCGCAGGCTCTCCTCGTGCTTGCGTACGAGGTCTTCGTATTTCTTTTCGAGCTCCTTAATTCTAGGATTGGAGTCTTGCTTCTTCTTGCTTGCGCCTTTCTTCTTGCGGAGGGTTTGAGCGTAGCTCAGCTCCTCTTCCGAGTCTTCTCCCGCTGTAGTGACGTTACTCAGTTCCGGAAAATTCTTCTTTCCCATGTCTATTTTCACCGTCTCCCGATCTTGTTCTGGAGTGCTCTTTTTCGGAGACCTCGGCTCGGGCAAAGGCTTGTATCTGTCCTTACATTCCTTTCCTCCGGTGTAGTGGCTGCCGCCGCAGATGACGCATCTGGGTTTGCACGTATACTCCGTGCGCATGCCTGGAATTTTCCTGGGGAAGTCGTGCTCCTCGCCGCAGTTGGGACAAATTTGGCTGAGTCCGTACGGGCAGGAGTCTGCTCGGTGTCCCATCTCTCGGCACGATGTGCACGCTTGCTTTTTCTCTTGGTATAGGTGGTACCTATTGGCACAGCAGTAGAATACTATAAATCCAGGAAGTTCCGTGGTGTCGAGGGTGACGAGAATCGAGGTGGTCCTGCCCATCCTCTTCGCGTCGGATATAGGTATCTTGGGGTTCTCCAGTTTGAGTTGCTCGTAGATCTCCTGGTCCGTGAACGGGATAGAAATTGGGAGGCATTTGGAGACCACTATTCTTACAGACTCCTTTCGGTTGGCCGTGTACGCTTGGGTTTCTACTTCTGCTCCCTGGTACTTGAGTGTGGTGATACCCAGGTACTTCTGCGCCCTTTGCTTGTCGTTTGTCCTGATGGTGATCGTGTTGTTCATGGTGTTCTTCGTCACGAGGTCCGTACCGATCATGTCTCGAGGCGATACTCCGGTCGCGGTGGCGATCGCGGCCGTGATTTCACCGATGACGATAGTCTTCAGGTCGAGTCCTTTCGTACGAATGATGATTCCGTATGCTCTGTCCTCGTCCTTTATGGTGGTCCGGAACTTCCTCGACAATTTGACTCGAAGCTTCTTTCCACCCACAGTCCTCCATTGCGACTTCTCTCTCGCCGCGTCTGTTTCCGTTGAGCTGGCTTGCTTCTCCTTTTCTTCATCGCGCTTGATGTAGTTCATGAGTGTGGCTAAGTTCCGCTGCTCCCTCGTTGCGACCGCCATGGCGCCTCGTGAGGGACGGAGCGTTAGGCCTAGCGCTAGGCCTAGCCGCCCGACTTGAAATTTCGTCCGAAATAGGCCTTTCTTGCGGAAGTTTCGTGTGAAACGACGATTCCGTGGCTTCGCTATGTCGTCCGCTGATCGAAAAGAGTTAAGACTCACCCCCAAGGGCCCAGGTTCCGCGGCGAAACGCCGAAAATCCAGGAGCGCAGGGGAGACGCGTCCGCACTGCTCGACGTCTCGAGAAAGTTCAGTTTTGCATAAAGTCCTCGGGATTAGGTACGGTAGCGCGTCTAGTGGTTAAAATTGTACAACATGGCGGCAGCAAAAAAAAAAAAAAAAAGCGGGGGGGGGGGGGGGGGGGTCACTTTTGCCTGGTGAATGGACGGGATATCGTTCACCAGGCACCGAACTTATCGTTCTAAGCCCCTCTACCTTGTTGGTTCACATTGACGAGTAGGAAAGGCGCTGAAGAAGATAAGAACGAGACAAGTTGAACGAAACAACGCGCCTTGTTTCCGTCAACTTGCCTCGTCGTTACCTTTAATAGCTTTCTTTTACACACGTGTAACTGTTCGCCGAAAAAAAAAACAATAGAAGCGTTAAAAATATATTCATATATAAAAATGTTATCAACTTTACTGGCGCTTTCACACTTGCGGATTCGCAGGCGAATCCGCGCAGGCGGAAATTAGATTTTGAAGCCGGATAGAGAAACTGACTCCTCGCTGGCTGAAAATCTGGATCAGTCCGGGACTACCCGGAGTTTCCGCCAGCGACGAGCCGATTTCGCCACCCGCCTTTAAAATCCGCTTTTCGCCTGGGCGGATCCGCCCGCCAATCCGCATGTGTAGACGCGCCATAAGACGGGTCTCTGCACTGAAATTCTACTAAAATACCTGTTTGACCTTATTTTAGAGCAGTCGAAATGTATTACTCAGGTTTCACATCGTTGAATTTATTTGGTTCGTGCTTATTAGAGAAAGATAGAGATAGGGGGAGGCGGATTTTAGATTCGATATATCTTACCTTATCAAGACATACAGGTTTCAAACGCCAAAAGGTATCGCCCCTTCCTCCGACAACCAAATATTGTAAATAACTATTTCGCGCGGCGTAGGAACAATGCGCAAACTTTGACTGGAGGGGGAAAAGAGGGGGGGGGGGGGGGGTTGACTACGAGTATAGGTAACAAGGTCGCAGTTCTGGAAGTCCTACGTCACCTACCGGAGGCCAGCGTGAGGGGCACTGATTAGACACGAGTGTTGCATCAGTGTTCGGCGGTGACTCGCGTCCAATCAGTGCTCCCCGCGCTGGCCTCCGGTAAGTGACGTAGGAGTTCCAGCCCTATGGCCTTGTTATATTGGAGCTTTTCCTCTTCCCGTTCCCGTGTAGAGTAGTGTGCCAAAATATCTTACCGGCTAATTTCGCTGTTTTTATTTTTCAACTATTAATAATAAAAGAGTATAATTGGAAGCCCGAAGCTGATAATGAACATATAATAGCTATAACAATACTTGATGACCCACGAAGTCTTTATTGTTCATGCAAGCACACGAAAAATCAAAATAGCCTGAATCGTTACGCAAAATACGCACAAAAAAAAAAAAGAAAAAAAGAACAGTACGTTTTTGTTGTTGTTCCATAACACGAGTGAACGAATCACGGCGACCAACAGAAGGATCTCAGCGAATTGCGAAGCTCAGATTAAAATTAGACAAAAAAATGCGATACGCGTAAAGCAGCGTGAATTTTTCTATGCTAATTGTTCCTGCGTATACATCCTATTTTTCAGATCTAGTCGTATAATACTTGGTCATCTGCTGGGATCCTCCTGTTTATACTTCGCCGTGATTAGCTGTGTTTCTGTTACGCGGAAAAGCGAGCTCGCAGATCCCCCCCCCCCCCTCTAATCCCCTTTGTTTTATTTATTAGGGTGTATAGTGTCCGAATTGTTCGACCGACTGTAAAGAAATTCTGATAACGAATTTATTATCCGATCACTATGTGATCGAGAGTTATTGCGCTAATCTGACGCTTATGCATTTTTAATGTTACTTCACGCGCTGACATGCTATCACACCCAACTCTCTCTTTCAGAATGAATTTGAGGACAAAACTGTGCCTTTCCAAGCACTGGTCGACTATCAAGTACGGCATATTCCTCTTCCCTCATTAGCCGTCTATTGCATTTCCACTTTTACAGCGGAACTGTTAAGGGCTAGTTTGTCCAGGATCGTGTCCGCCGGATTAGAAATGATGACACCGAACTCTGGACAGCTACCGCCATCTATGAGCGACGGCGGCAGCCAGACAACTGGTTGCCGCCGTCGCTCATAGGCGGCGGCAACCTTTCTTCGGAGGAAGAAGAGCGGGAGCGGAACGAGCGGCGATGTGCGCAGCAGCAGCGCTAATGGTTCCGCAACCGCCGCGAAGCCGCTATCACCTAAAGTTCCACTGCGTCGAGAGCTTTAGATTCCCTCGCGAAAGAAGAGCAGGTTATTCGCTTGGAAAGCCATCGCCGAGAACAGAAGCTACAGCTCCACTGCTCTTCCCTCTTCACCAGGGTGGAAAGGCTAAAATTTTCACTAGAGAGTTTTAGGGAACCGTTTTCAGACATCCGATATGGTACGATAGGCCCTCCGATACAAACTGTGCATACGCAACCACAAAAGACTCGCATATGCACACTTCGTACCGGAGGGCCCATCGTACCGTATAGGATGTGCAAAGACGGTTCCCTAAAACTCTCTATACTGTCTGAGGTTTCTTCCGTGTATGACGGCCTTGTCACATTGGTTGCACAAACACTGTCTGCTGACATGTTCAAGCAGATACACATGCATGAAGCAAAACATGTTTCGAATATGCCCGAGGCGTGTCCTTACATGATTCTGTCATCGTGTCTGCAGCGAACACAGCGTCTTTTGTACGATGTAAGCGCATTGTAACTTCGGCGACTATACGGAGCGCAAGTTTGTCCGCTTCTTTTGCGGGGGTTTCAGAACGATGCCGAGTTCTGATCGGCTCGGATTGGAAGGATAGTGGGTAGAGCTCAAAGCAAGCTGCCCTGAGTTCTACCCAATTATGCTTCCAATCGGAGCCAATCAGAGCTCGGCGTTCTGACGTCAACGCGACCATTACGCGAGAATCAGACGAGCTTGCGCTCCGCATAGGCTCCTAGGAGAGCAAGTCGTCTGCTTCTTTTGCAGGGGTTGTAGTGACGTCAGATAGCCGAGATCTGATTGGTTCTGATTGAAGGATAGTGGGCAGCCCTCAAATCAAGCTGCCTTAAGGTCTACCTACTATCTTTCGATCAGAGCCAATCAGAACTCGGCGTTATGACGTCACCGCAATCCTTGCAAAAGAAGCAGACGAACTTAGGCTCCGGATGCAGGCGGCCCTAAAATCCGAAGCTAAAGAGGTTTTAGAAGAACGGACGTCGAAGGTTAATTTTGTCGGAGGACTCGATTAGGCGAATACGTTTTCTCTCTTTTGCAGGATTGCGTAGCCGCGGGAGTATACCACCAAGGGCCCAGAAGGTAGCGACAAAAAAGAATGCAATAAAGATCGTTTTTTTTTTTGCTACGTCAGGTGACATTGACTAGCTTGATGTTCTTGCATCGGTAACTCCTGTGGAGGTGACGCCACAAACTTAGCTGATAAGACGTGAAGGAACGAAAAGGGGAGTTTGCGCCAGTCCAAGCGTGTGGCGAAAACGGGTGCTCGGGCTAATTTAGTCAGAAAAAAAAAGAAATGTGTTCTGCTTTTGACATGTAATGACTAGTAGTGTGCAAAGAAAATAGGTAAGTAGAAGCTTTGATAATATAATAAAAAAAGTTCCAACCAAGCTTTTTTTGCATTGTTAGTACAAGTTTGTAGTCTTAATAGTATCTTTGTTTTGAAGCTAAGTTTATTTTCCAATATTGAATCTTCTTAATTCCAAGACTTATTTTTGTGCGTGTATATATGATTAGTACTCGCACATCAAAAAATTTTCTTTGTGGGGCAAATTTGCTAAAACTTTATATTTATAGCTTTGTTGTAGTTGTTTATTATAAGGTTGTGCGAATATTCAATATTTCAAATAGTAGTTCCGAATAATACACTATTCGATATTCACTTCGAGAAGAACTGCACTATTCGCGTTTTTCGAAGTGTTGATTGCGACGTGTTGGCCCCGTTGAGTGCGCTTCTTACCAAGCACCGGTGCGCTGCGGAGAAGCAATACCCGCAAAAGCGAGCTCCGCGGCTGTTTTTTCCCCGCAGCGCACCGGTGCTTGGTAAGAAGCGCACTCAACGGGGTAACCCGCCGCAATAAACACAAGGAAACTTGTGAATATCGTAATTGCGGGCTTGGAGTTAAAACATACTGCATTCAAAGCGGGATGGTGCACCTATGCGGACTGTACTTGAAAATAAATGAAAACTTTGTGAATGTGTAAATCTACATTGCAGTAAAAGTTTAAAAATTAAATTGTTATGCAAGAGTATACTATGTTAGTCAGAGATGCCCTTACAACCTGCATTCATAATGCAAGATTCATTCTTTTTTTAACTCGAGATCAAATAAATAATATTTTAAATAGCAAGATTCATAAATTAACTCCATTGGGTATAGTTGGCCATCTCTATAGGATTCATTTTAAGTCAAATCCGCCGTTTACTTGCCATCCGAAGACAACAGACCTTCTAAGGTCATAGTTCCTAAATATGGATAGATTAAACTTAGCTTATAAATGAACAGGCGGAACAAACTTCACAAGTTTAGCTGAGTTTTCGTCTAAGCATTGTGCAATGGTAGTAAAAGGCGTGGGAAAACTATTCGATATTCGAATCAAAAATATTCGGCCAAAACCACTATTCGCTTCGAATTCGCTTCGAACTCAAAATCCACTATTCGCACAAGACTAGTTTATTACCAATATTTATTGTGAACGACTATAATTTAGACATGTGCACACAAAGGCATGACTAATTATGATATTATTCCCTCCATAATT